CCCCCCCCCCCGTCATCACTAGCCCTGAGGAAATGCCAGCACATCACTTTAAGGGCCATTTAGGGGAACTGTGGCCAACTCTGGGCCTGTAATAAAAGGTGGCCTAATGGTGTCTACGGCAAGTTCACATTTCAGCTGACTACAAAGCTGGACATGAAAAGCACAGGGAGTCACACATACACGGAATCACATTCTGAAAATGCAAGACACCCATCTGCCCCTAAGAGGGATAAGCGGGCCTCTGGGACAGAAGGGACCAATGGCCTCCCCCAAAGTTCTGTGACCACCAGCTGTATGTACCCCCTCTACAGCTACAGGCCGAGGCCAGTGAAGCAGGAAACGCCCTGTCAAGGCCTCTCTGGCTCCGCCTGGTCCCTCCTGACAGCCAGGCCTCCACCTGGGACTCCTGTAATCATCATTCCACACTCAGAGCACTGACACCGTGCCAGGAATTAGCTATCAGAAAGAAAGAGCACCAGGAGGGACAGGCTAGGAGTTCGGGATTAACACGTACACACTACTATATATAAAACAGATAGGCAACAAGGACCTACTGCATAGCACAGGGCACTGCACTCAACAATTTACCATAATCTCTAAGGGGGAGGACCTGAAAAAGAATATATATATATATCGTATACACATACGTGTAACTGAATCACTGTGCTGTACACCTGAAACTAAACGACGCTGTAAATCAGCCATACTCCAATTTAAATAAATAAATGAAAATAATAAAATTTTAAAAAAAGAAAGGGCGTCACGTTGCCTTTGTGAAGTGGAAGGCGAGCATCAAAAGGGCAGAGGCTTTTGACCTTTTTTCTGGCCACGTATTCCCCAGCACCGACGACACAGTCTGGCTGCATAACTCACCAAATGGAACAGACCAGAAACCCAGGGGCACTTTCCAGCCCCGGCCTACTCTGCTCTCCCGCAGCACTGGACGGGCTGCACTCAGGGGTCACCAGCTCTGGAAGGGCGTCCCTAACCACCTCTTTCCAGCTGTCCTCTCCCAGGCCCGGCCCAGCACACTCCACAGGATTTTACCACCATCCACCGTGGTATATATCTGACTCATTACTTTGTTGATTGTTCTGTCTTCCCCAGCTAGAAAATGAGTTTTCAAAGGGCAGGGATTTTTGTGGTTGATTCAGCACCATTTCCTCAGTACCCAGAACAGTGCCTGGCCCTGGGAAAAGGAAGGAGCAAGAGGCGGGAGCAGGGGGGCAGGGGGAAGCAAAGAAGGAAACGAGAACCGGCAGGGCTGTGCCCGCCCACCTGGGACTCTCCTCTCCCCTCTGTCCCTAACACTCCTTCCCTGGCCCCTTGATGAGTATCCCCAGCGATCGGCCTTCACAGTCTTCTCCAGTCTCTGCATGCTCTCCCGGCATAAACGCACCCTCAACGGAAGATCTCAGTGATCCCCTAAACGCCCACCACTCCCGAGCCTACATCTCCGGGGTACACCTTCTCCCTGACCCCAGACCCTCGTGATCAGCCACCTGCTAGACACAGGGCTCGTCCATCCCTCCCTTCCCTGCCTGCTCACACCGACCCACCTCCCTCCTCTAATCTCCTGACCTGACGCAGGGGAGTGTGACAGCTAAGAGAACAGCACAGACCTGGATTCAAGTTCCCAGCTCCACCTCTTCCTCGGTGGAGCCAGCTGTTTGAGCCGGGACAGGCTAGTTCATTTGATCTCTGCAAAGAGTCACTTTTCCCAGCTGTATAAGGGGATAATACCAGTGGCAGTCAACGTAGCACTCTGCGTGGGGAGCACTCAGGTGCTCCTGAAAACGTGCTGGCTCTTATTTCAAAGACAAAATATCACCGGTCTCCTTGTTCTTGATCCATTCTTAGTTTTGCACACTCTCGCTCTCCATGACACGTAACATATATTTGTACACACACACATATGACCGATCTCACACTCCAACGACAAAAAGTGGGAGCAAGCCAGGAACAAACTGAGCATTACTGTTGAAATAACTCAATTTGAGTCCCAAAGGGGTCAGATTTTCATGGGACAGTCCATGCTTTAACCAGCTCTAGGAAGCAGTCTTTCATACGTGGATAGCTGAGGAAAACATCCTTCCATTCCATTCCGTAAAGTTCCACTCATATTAGAACAATACCATCGGCATCAACACATGATGTCAGCCAAAGCACCGGAGCCTGGCGGGGAAAGGAGGAAGACACACAGCTCCCATTGTTTCTTGGCAAGACTCTCTCCTATGGCAAAGTTTGAGCTCAAAGTGAGAGGCAGCAGCTACACTGCTGATACATATAGCCTGGAAATGCACTTTCAAAATTGCCAATTCAGACTTGACATCTTTATTGACGCTGTACAGTTGTAAACCAAATGTGACCAAAACACGATGATACATCTGTTCCTGAATTTTAGAACTATAAAGCCATTTAATTAGTAGTCAACTAAAATACTTTATCTGATGTATCTCTGGTTAGTAAGCAATAATTTTTAAAAGTGACTAAAAACAGTACAAAAAAACAACAGCATATAAATATGATTTACTTATGTCAAGAAGAGGTTTGGGGAAGGAAAAGCTCTTAGAATTATTATTAAGATTCCTGAATTAATATTAATACATTTGAACAAAACAAACTGAAAGCAGAGAGATGATGGAAAAGTCATTATGTAGACTATGGAGTTAGACAAACCTCTACCCCCCATGAGCTAAGTGGGCACTCAAGCCGATTTCCTCATCTGTAAATGGAGATAATGTCCCAACTGGCAGCGTCAAGAAATTAGTGATAATTCTGTACAAATTAACATATTTGTGAACTGTAAACACTGTGAAATCATACTGTAGAGTTGGCTATACTGACATACGGTTGCTCAATAAATGGCAATCATTACTTTTCAAATACAGTGGTCTGAACAACACAGAACAAGTCACTAGTTACACAGCACTACTTACAGTCAACTCTTGATCGTGACTAAACTACACAGAGTTCAAAACAGCTAAATAAACTGAAAGAAATTCGTTTCTAGTTTTCAAATGCAATTACTTTTGCAGCAAATTAACTGTCCAGGTGAAGGCTATGCATAATAGAAACAAAAAGTTGGCTATGTTCAAATCAATCTTTTAAGAATAAGTTATAATTTAGGAAAATATTATAGTCTACACAACAATTCTCAGAATGCATTGTGAGGGCCATGCCTGCCCTGCTCACTGCTGTGTGCCTGTACAGTGTCTGTAAAGTGCCTGACACATAACAGGTACCTAGTAAATATTTGTTTAATTGCAGTCTACATACAGCCACTTAAGAGAGCAGGAGTGGTCTAATGCTAGAAAAATAACCCAAAGTAATAAAGGAGCACAGTAGAAAATTAATCTTAATACGAAATTAGTCAGAAATCTTTTAGTCCTTAAAAAACATCATAAAAAGACCTTACTAAACCACCAGCATGGGCCCACTGTGAAAGGGTAAGACTAAATCAGAAAACTAAAGAGAAGTCCATCAACTGGTAGTTACAGAGGAACATCAGGCCAAATGAAAGTCACCAGAAAGAATCGTAAGGGAATAAGGGAGGGCTGCTATGACTATATTAATAAAAACAAAGATATATACTCATCATAAATTTCAGATGGAAAGACTTAAAATAAGCCAAGGGAGACTACAGATTTTCTAACATTCTGTTCCCTCTTACCAATCCCGAGGAATGGGATTTGTTCTGATTAAATTCAGCTCACTTTTACTGTTTTCCTATTACATGTTCTGCACTGTAGCAAGCACGATGAAAGGTGCAAAGATGGGGTTTAATTTGGCACAGAAGGAAGTCACGTGCATACAGCTCCTATCTGTGTGCAAAGATAGTACAAAGACATCTGGAACCTGGGAACCAGGACCAGACCCTGATCTGATGCCTACTCTAGTCCGCTGCACCTTCTACTAGTTCGGTTATTTACTTAATCACCCTTCTATCTTCAAACTTTAAGCGGCAGCAACTTGAATTCTAGAGTTACTTTACTTTTCTGCTCTTAAAGACACAAAGAGAAGCTTTTTAAATGGGGTTACTTTTTAGCATCTTTAATTTTATTAGATATAGTACATGCCATGTTAAAAGAAAAGTTTTAATATAAATCCATGTCCATCTTAAAAAAGTTTGTGAAACATCTGAATGACATAGATCTCACGTCTTCCCTGGAACAAATGAAGAAGACGGATGTCTGCTCTTTCCCTAAATGAGCTATAACTTGAGGATGGGCAGCAACTGACCGATGGTTTCCGCAAAACCCGGGGAGTCAAGGTTCACAGTGGTCCTCGTCCCGATTCTGTCAGGCTCCGCGCGGAGCTTAAAAACATGCTATTCAGTTCTGATCTCGACTTGTTTCCTGCCCTCTCAAAGCGGAAGCTGAACTTCAACGTTGTCGGTAAAGTAACTTGGCAATATTTTGAGGTCACTTCCATCCGTGTTCACAGTTGTACCAGAATCATAAGAATATGTTTGTTCTCAGAGTAAATGCACACAAAACTGAAAATCACACACAAAACTGAAGCACGGGATTTAATCAGCTCAGGTGGAGAGCATTTCCATCAGCCGTCCTCCGTAACTCGTCTGCCCAGCTGACTTGCCACTAAAGACACCCAAGTGTGAAACGGAGCCGGAAACCCCAAAACCCCAGGGAAGTGAGGTGGAGCCCAGCGCCGGTCCCAGCTCCCCCGACGCCTGCACCGAGCATCCGTGACCCGGGACCGCAGGACCCGAGCAGGGAAGGTGCACCGACGCCCAGGTGTGTTTCGGGCTACCAGGCCGCAGCAGCCCCGACTCCGCCCGGGAAGCCGCAGCGCTGGGGGTCGGCCGCCAGCCCCACGGAACGGACCCCAGACCCTCCGCACCCAACTCCGGACCAGAACCCCGCCTCACGTCCGCCCAGGCCGCCCCGCGTCCCCGGCCCGTCCGCCGGCCAGCCGCGTCCCGCCGCCCACGCCAGTCAAACCGCCCAGCGGCGAGCGGCCCCACCGCTCGCCCACCTTGGTCGTACGGATGTGCTCCATCCCGAAGACGCGTCCGCCGGCGGCCGCACCACCTGCGCACCATAGAGCGGATATCCCGGGCCGCGGCGCCCCTGACCCGGCAGGCACCACCTCCAGCCGGCCGCGCCCACCGCGCACGCGCAGCTCGCTTGTCGTCTCCTGGAAACACTTCCGCAAACCGGGGCCGCTGAGAGGGCGCTGCGCGGTGGGCAGAGCGGCGGCGGCGCTGAGAGAGCGGCTACGGTATCGCCTGGGGCCGCCGTGAGAACACAGCGCCTCCTGTCGGTGGAGGCCTTCCAATCCCCGAGAGAGCGCGGTCCTCTCCTGGGAAACTGGCCAGCAATTCTCCCCCGTGGACAGGGTCGTGTGGACGTGCTGTGAGAAGAGAATTCGGTGGGTGAGGGCGAGACAGGGTGACACCAAATTTCAGTACTTCGTCTTTTGTCTGAGCTGCAGTTCTTCTCACAAGAATCTACTCTAAGGAAATAATCAGATGTATTTATTGTAGCCTTATTTGAATCCATCACAATCTCCAATATTATGGGATTGTTATGTAAAGTGTGGTATGTCCATACACTGTTGATATCAGCATACCTTAAAAATTATGTGAGTAGGGACTTCCCTGGTGGCGCACTGGTTAAGAATCCGCCTGCCAGTGCAGGGGACACGGGTTTGAGCCCTGGTGCGGGAAGATCCCACATGCCATGGAGCAACTAAGCCTGTGCGCCACAACTACTGAGCCCGCGAGCCACAACTACTGAGCCTGCGTGCCACAACTACTGCAGCCACGTGCCTAGAGCCTGTGCTCCGCAACAAGAGAAGCCACCACGGTGAGAAGCCCGTGCACCACAACGAAGAGCAACCCCCGCTCGCTGCAACTAGAGAAAGCCCACGCACAGCAACAAAGACCCAACACAGCCCAAAATTAATTAATTAATTATTTAAAAATTATGTGACTAAAAGTAAAAGCTGAATAAACTAAAAAATCAGCAACTTTATTTAGATCTATGAGAGAACTGAGGTCACAGGGCAAACCACTGACCCCCAAATTAGAGAGAGAGAGAGAGACAGACAGACAGGCAAGTACAGAGAACAACACCTTATGGGAGCAGAAACCCACCAGCAGCAACCTCCCTGGGAACCAGTGCCGGGCAGGTCGTTTCACCCAGCACATAGTGTCCGACTATCCAGGAGACAAGACATACTAAAAGGCAAAAACACAGTTTGAAGAGAAAGAGCAAGCCTCAAAACCAGACTCAGCTATGGCCTAGATGTTAAAATTATCAGACTGGGAATTTAAAACAATTAGGATTAATAGGCTAAGGGCTCTGATGGGTAAAGTAGACAGAACGCAAGAACACACAGGCAATGTGAGCAGAGAGATGGAGAGTCTAAGAAAGAACCAAGAAGAAATGCTACACGTAAAAAGAACTACAACAGAAATGAAGAACGCCTTCGATAGGCTTATGAGTAGAACACATGTGACGCAGGAAAGAATCTCTGAGCTTGAGGATACCTCTATAGAAGCCTCCAAATCTGAAAAAGAGAAAGGAAAAAGACTGAAAAAAACAGAACAGAATGCGCGAGGATTGTGGGACAACTACAAAAGGTGTAACATACATGTAATGGGAATATCTAAAGGGGAGGAAAGAGAGAAAGGAACAGAAACAAATATTTGAAACAATAATGACTGGAAATTTCCCCCCAATTAATGTCATACACCAAACCCTCAGAGAACACCAAGCAGGATAAATGCCAGAAAAACTACAATCATTCTCGAACCATGGAAAATCAAAGATTACAAACAGAAATCCTGAAGAAGGCAGGGGCGGGAGAAACCCTTATCTATAGAGGAGCGAGGAAAAGAATCAGATCTGACTTCTCATCCGAAAGCGTGCAAGCAAGAAGAGAGGGGAGTGAAATAAAGGGTTAACAGAGAAGTCCACCAACCTAGAATTTCGTACCCTGTGAAATGCTTACATATAAGTGAAATTAATGACAACAGTGAAACAAGGGAGAAGCTAAGATTAGTTTATTAGAAAGTACTCACACTTCAAAAACAAGTTATGCTGTAGAGGAACAGTACATAACAAAAGTGTAGATGCTGAATTACTGAGTGAAAAATAAAGCGGCTATAGAATGGTAGGTTCAATGTGAGTGTGTTGGGTCATTTTTATTTATTTAAAACGAAATACTGGGGCTTCCCTGGTGGCACAGTGTTGAGAGTCCGCCTGCCAATGCAGGGGACGTGGGTTCGTGCCCCGGTCCGGGAAGATCCCACATGGCCCGTGAGCCATGGCCGCTGAGCCTGCGCGTCTGGAGCCTGTGCTCCGCAACGGTAGAGGCCACAACAGTGAGAGGCCCGTGTATCGCAAAAAAAAAAACAAAAAAAAAACCGAAATACTTACACTTCTAGATGGTTAGGATAACAGGTGAGTTTTGTAATCCCTCTGTTTCAGCCATGCTGAAGTGATTTCAACCTGGAGTGATCTTGCCCCCAGGGGACATTTGGGACATCTAGAGACATTTTTGGTTGTCACAACTAGGAGTGTGTGTCGGGCGGTGCTACTGGCATCCAGTGGGTAGAGGCTGGGTCTGCTGGGGAGCACCTTAAAATACACTAGACACACCCCGCACCCAACCACCCACCAAAGGATTATCCAGCCCAAGATCTCAGTAGTGCCGAGGCGGAGGAGCCCTGCTCTATGTTCTCCAAGTGTTCTGTCCTAAGCCGCTTCACTCTGTTGTAACTAGAAAATGCTATTTTTAAAACATCATCACCATTTTTACATCATCTTTCTTACTATGTTTGGTGCTACAAAGACCTCTCTACCCTCTAGATTTTCTTTTCTAATTAAAAATTATGTTTTATTTTGCCAGTGTTTCATTCATTTATTTTATTCAAGTCGTCTTGGTGTTGCTTTGTTTTGAGTGCAGGCTATGTTTCAGACAGATTTTCAAAGCAATGGAGATACTCACGGGGAATACATAATGAGGATAAGACTGCACGACCTAGAAAACAGCCTCGTACAGTATCACATCCAAAAGACACAAATCCGGCTAAAAAAAAATTGAAAACTAAAGCAGGTCTTTTCCAGCAGATCTTCTGAAAAAGCAGAAAAGGGTGAATTATATTGCATAACATACATCAAGACTTCCTTGATAAAACCTCTTTTTGTATTATTTTCCCTCAGATTTTTGTCATTTTCTCCATTCCACATCCCCAAACACGTTATCCTCACAACATTATCTCCCTCGTCCCTTATCATTTCTCACTTTGTCTCTTTTACCAATTCTCATAGAAGGGTAATAATAATCATAACTAACGCTTAAATGATTACCAGGTGGCAGAAAGAGTACTAAGTGCTTTACCCGTACTATGGGGAAAATACTATTACCTTCCTCATTTTAAAGATGAGGAAAGTGAAACACAATGAAGTTAAGTAACTTGCCCAATATCACACAGCAGATAAAGCCTAGATTCATGAGATAAAGCCAGACAGTCTGACTCTAGATTCTGTATTCTTAGTACTATTCTATATTGATTTGTTTTTCAAAATCCATATAAAAGTTTCAGTTATGGTAATATGATAGGCTAGGAAATGACTCTGCTTTTTTTAAAAACTAAAATAGTATCTAAAATAGAAAATCAGGGCTTCCCTAGTGGCGCAGTGGTTAAGAATCTGCCTGCCAATGCAGGGGACACAGATTTGAGCCCTGGTCCAGGAAGATCCCACATGCCATGGAGCAACTATGCCCATGAGCCACAACTGCTGAGCCCGCGTGCCACAACTACCGAAGCTCATGCACCTAGAGCCCATGCTCCACAATGAGAGAAGCCACTGCAATGAGAAGCCCGAGCACCACAATGAAGAGCAGCCCCTGCTCACCACAACTAGAGAAAGCCCGCATGCAGCAATGAAGACCCAATGCAGCCATAAATAAAATAAATAAATAAATAAAATATATTAAAATAAAATAGAAAATCAAATCCTATAAAGCACCTATAATGTAACTGAGAAGAGAGTGAGGACTCACAAGTGCAAAATATAAGGGAAAGTGTGTACCCAGAAAGGTAAGCAGGATACGGAAATTCCTGCAAGAGGGCCATTTCCAAACCAGGTGAATTTAGTACCTGTTTTGATGTTCTCACAGGACTTAAAGTCCAGAAGCCACCGCATGGAGGAAGTACAATGGGGGACTCTCCCTACGTAAAGCCTGGGCCAGAAGGAAACTCAACCAATCCAACGCCCAGAATACTGTGGGAAATTCACCTTGACGTTAAGAAACAGGAGGGGGGCAATAATCTCCTGTCTTGCCAATATTATAACCACAAAAATGTTATTAGTTGAATTTGCAACCTAGATTCATACCACCTAAAACACTTTCAGAAAAACTTCAAGTTGTGAATATAGTTTTAAAAGTTTGGGATTAGTAGTGCCTAGGAATGTTATTAAAGCAAACTCAAATCCTTTCTGGGTGGAATGCCACTCTACAATAGGTTTTAAATAATTCTTACAATTAACTTTCCAAGGAAAATTGTTAGTCACAATAAAAGATAACTAGCACACAAGGAAACAATTCTCAAGAGATAATTTGCAAGAACAGCATGAGTGGCAATAAGAGCTTTTATAACTATCAGGCTTAGTTTATAAAACAATTGTGCTCAATGCTCATTATGTTTAAAGAAATGAGACATGATGAAAACATCTGCAGCGTTTGGGGAAAACAGTGTCTTAATGAGCAGACATGAAGAAGAACCAAATAGAACTTTTATAAATGAAGTGCAAAACTTGAAATGGAAAACCCACTGAATGGGTTTAACAGATTAGACACAGTAGAAGAAAGAATTAGAAAACTGGAGGTTACTTTTGGAAATTACCCAGAAAGGAATACAGAGAGACAAAAAGATTGTAAATAGGAAACAAAAATTAAGAGAAATGGAGGATAGCACGAAAAGGTCTAACATAAGTCTTGCCACAGTTTCATGAGAAGAGAAGGGGGGGAGAGAGACTGGGGCAAAGATAATATAATACCTGACATTTTTAAGAATGCATGGAAGACACCAATCCACAGAATATGGAAGCTCAACGAATTCCAAGAGGAATAAATAAAAAGAAAT